TAGTAGAATGGGTTTAGCGTTTGATTTAGAGTTGGTTGATTGTAATTATCCATAATTTTCTTTTATTGCTATAGTAAACAAAATAAACAAGGACATTGTAAATAAAGTGCTATCCAAGAACAATGAAGATAATTTAATGAATAAACATCTTAATTAGAGGGAAATTATTCATCTAGAACAGGTACATTTAGACTAAATACAAGCAGTCAAAAGCATAGTGATGAATGGCTTAAGATGAGAAATGAGTCACTGAATCTTTTCCGGAGCCAGAGCGACGGAGGACCAAGGTGGAGCTGGCAGGAGGAAGGAGCCCAATAGAGCCGGAGGTTGGAGCAACAAGGTGCAGCCGGAGGAGCGGAGTCCTGAGGCGATGGCGGTTCGACGCCCAACCAAGGCAGAGCCGGAGGGACGAGGGAGCTAGGAGCCGCTGGGTCTACGGGCCAAGGCAGAGTCCGGGCCTCGGAGGCGGAGGTGAGGGATTCTCCAGCCATGGCGACGCTGGAGGATGGCAGACCCGCGGCGCTCACACCATAATGATGGTGGGCTGAGGGCGAGCAGAGGGGCTGCCAGATGACAGCGGTGGAGGAGGCAGGAGCGGGTGGGAGAGCGGGCATTTGTGTGTTTCCGGGCATTCAGGGCTTAACTCTGGATCGGAAGCCCCCTCTAGGCTGAACACAGGAACAGGATGGCGCTCAGGAGGAGCGGACACTTGAGGGCGCTTACGAGGAGCTGGCACTGGAGAGCGATTTCTAGGAGCGGGCACTGGAGGGCGCTCTGGACTGGATTCGGGGACTGGAGCCCTCTCCTCTTCGGCACTTTCGCCGCGCCATACTCAGCTCACCCTCAGCCGCGGTGAAGGTGGTGGAACTCCTCTCCGCGCTCACACTGTCCGTGGCTTTCTCCCTCATTGCGGGCATTGTCGCCAGCTCTCGCACCTGGTCTGACGGCTGGGGCTCTACTTCTGGGACGGTCCTCCGCTCAATCGCATTACGCAGGCTCGTAGATCGCGTCAGGAATTGCCTCTTCATCATTGGTGGGCTCGGGCTTTAGCTCCGCACAGCGGGGAGATGGTGGGTTGGGCTCTGGGTCCGGAGTGGATCTGGCGAGATCATCCTTGGGAGTTTCTTGCCAGAATCCACTCCACAAACACGCCAAAATCCTCTCGAGGACCATCTTCGGACGACGACGCCCTGCACTTGATGTTTAGACTGGTGTCGTAGAATGCACAGAGCGCGTCGTCCGGGTAGCTGGTGGTGCTTGCTAGCAGCTGGAACAGTCTAGTATGGTCCTCGAGAACTTTGTCCCCCTGCTCCAGCAGGAGGAGGAGGTATGCGGAGCGAAAAAAGGCATCCATCAGGGAACAATGGAAAAAAAAGACACTGGGTAAAAACGGGAAACAAAACGGAGGGTAAACACACGGACGGTACTGTTTAGGTCGGTTCATATTTCACAATCTGTGATGGCGAGGAACGATGGAGACGAGGAATAAATGAAACTGTCTTTAATCCATGGAACACAGGGTACATGAACACTGGAGACAGCAGGAAACACATCAACGTAACGAGTAGAACCGACAGAGAGAGATTGCACAGACTAGGACTTAAATACAGGGGATGATTGGGCAAACACAGGTGTATGGGATGACTAATCAAATTAATTAACAAAACGAGGACAGGAACATGACCAAATAAGGGAACAGAAAGAGGGGCAAAACATGACACAGACAGTCCAAGATCCTGACACCAACACTGTCGACCAGTAATTAAATCTCTTAATTGCTTTGAACACTCGGACATGAGTCGCGACTTACAAATGAGGACAATGGAAGCAATCAAAATCAACAAAAGAGCAATGATATGCAATTGCTATAACAAGTCTCAGTTAGTTTAACATAGTACCTGTAGCAAGGTTTTTTAAGTTATATAATAAATAAAAAGAAAACAGATAGAATAGAGCAAGCTAGTGTTAGAGGCCTTTTTTTTGCTTTTGTTAATTGTATAATAAAAAAAGAAAACAATTAGAATACAAAAAGATTAGAAAAGCTAGTGTTAGTTTTTTTTTAAAGAAAACAAGCAGTAAATGAATAGAGTGCAAGTCTAAAAGGGACACGTTTTTTAAAGAATAGAATTAGAATAGAGAGTGCTAGAGTTAGAGGGTCAAATAAAGAATGTTATAACGTTATTTCGTCTCGTTTAGTCGCGTTATTATTATTATTTTGCAGTATTTCTGCTTCCTGTGTCTCACTTCAGCGGCTGCATCAGGTCGCACTGCGCAGACGCAGGCGATGTCACTTCCTCAAGCCCCACTCGCGGCATTATTTAGAAGACTTAAACCAAACAAAGTTAAGTCTGACAGAAAAAGGGACCGATGGCCGGCCAGCCGGGGTTCGTCTTTATTTAAATGTATGTTTGTGTACTTCTAACATGTTTGGTTGGTAAAATAAATGTTGTAAATTCAAATCAGAGCGTCTTCCGTCGTGTCTGGAATGGTTGTATTCTTGAGTCTATTCACCTTATTCCGCCCCACCCACTTTTAATACTTCGCTCTTCCGCATTTTGTCATCCGACTTCCGCTAAAGTGATACGGCACATCCGGTAATTAGTTCAGTAGTTGTGAGATTGTTTATAGCTAGATATAACTGTGGCAAAATGACAAAGAATGTTAATGCCGTAAATGTTATAAATTGGGAGCACGATGAAAACTGCTGACCTGATGACCATCTGCAGACTAAGTATCTTGTCTAATCTCTTAATTGTACAGTGGAGTAAGGTAAGTGAATATTTATAAATGACATATTAATAGCCTAGTAATTCTGCACACAGTGTATATGCAAAAGATAAGGTAAAGGTAAGATTTGGTAGGTGTACATTAAGTCTAATCATGCTATCACCTGATACAAGGAATAAGGTAGGTTAAGATCAAGTGTAATAATAATGAATGATTTTGAAATGACAACTCTGAAAGTTTAGAAATTTATTTTAAGTATACAAACTAGTGCTGGCCAACGATTAATTGCATTCAAAATGCAAGTTTTTGTTTACATAATATATGTGTGTGTACTGTGTATGTTCTGTACAGGGCTGAGGGCCTGTAAGCTGCTCATCTGGGTTCCATCACAGCAAGTTCTGCTACATGTCCCATACAATGAGCAATTCTGTGCCAAGACTAGCTAGACTAAAAACCTTTTATTTTAAGTATATGCTTCCTCATGTGTCAGATGAGTTTCAGGCAGGCCGCCTGTTGCTTTCCACAAGATACTTGCAGCTTTGTAAATAAGCAGGAATGAGAATAATTAGGGTTAAGGATAGGATATTAGGTAATTGGGGTTGGAATGTAGAGGCTGTAGGTGAAGACTGGAACTATTTTAAATTAGTTGTTTTAAATCAGTTGTGTTGAACAAGAGACAGACTGTGATTTGTGTTTTAGAAAATGTATAATTTCATATAAGTTGTATAAAATCAGTTGTGATTTGTTGATCAGTGTTTGTTGTTTTCAGGAAGCGAGAGACACCTTCTACTGACCATCCTGTAGAGGTAAAATTTTCAAGCATTTAATTTCCATATGTAATAAACCAAGATGGAATTAATTTGCAAACTTGACATGACTTATTCCTTCAAATCAGAGATCAAAGATAAAAAAAGATAAAATTAAGATAATAAAAAAACTATTCACAACAGGTAGCTTCTGGTGACATTGTAAAGGTTTACAAAAATAACTATTACAGCAGGTAACATCTGGTCACATTGTAAAGGTTTATAAAAATAACTACTTACACTATTTAGTGAAGTGAAGTGAAGTGACATGTGAATAAGCTTTAATTGTTAGTGCAATATAAAAAAGTGAAAAACAAGTGACGTGACATGTGGCCAAGTATGGTGACCCATACTAGAAATTAGTGCTCTGCATTTAACCCATCCTAAGTGCACACACACAACAGTGAACACACACACCGTGAACACACACCCGGAGCAGTGGGCAGCCATTTATGCTGCGGCGCCCGGGGAGCAGTTGGGGGTTCGGTGCCTAGTGTCGGTACCTCAGTCATGGTATTGAAGGTGGAAGAGAGCGCTGGTTATTCACTCCCTCCACCCACAATTCCTGCCGGACCAGAGACTCGAACCCGCAACCTTTGGGTTATGAGTCCGACTTTCTAACCATTAGGCCACGACTTCCCCAATTTACACTGATTAGTTAAAGAAAAACCACAGCAAAATGTATCGACAGTCGTGGAACGCACCTACAAATCAACACATTCATCCTCTACATCAGAAATTATGTCGCTGCGAAGGTTACACAGGGCTGCACAAATTCTCAAAATGTTATCAATCTTAGGGGTGAGGTTAATTGGAACTGTTTGAGAAAGGATTTTGAAGTTTTTCAGTCGGCATATGACCCGCTCAACATGGACACGTACATTGGCAATGCGCCTAGTGTTGGTGGTGTCTTCTTCAGAGAGTTGTATGCATCTCTTGGTGAATGACAAGTTTCACCTTCCTTTCATACAGGAGATCGGTAATGGTGAAGCCTCTGTCCGCCATTACTTCATCGCCTGGACGAAGGTATTCCAGGAACCCTGAATTTGCAGTTATGAATTTGTCACTGCACCTTCCTCCATACGCTGGTGAGATGAACATGATCAGTGTACATGGTGCAAAAGAGACCAGGTATTTGATGGTGTTCTGGCCGTAGTAATGGCTGTAGGACTCACCTCTTGAGTCAAGGTTGTGTGGCTTTTGAAGGGGTGTCTCTGAACAGTCGATCACACATGTTGTATTTGGGAATTGTTCTCTGAAACACTGAGGCATTGTTGCCTGGATTGTCTCCCTGGGAAGCCATGGTATGTAATCCCTCATGTTCTCCTCCATGATGTCAATCCAACATGAAATCACCTTGCTTACAATGGACTGAGAAACACCAAACCTTTCAGCAAGATCACCCTGCAATAAATTAAGATGCAGCTTCATCAGAGTCATCAGGAGCTGATCCCAAGTGTGTAGCTGGAAGCTGTTGGTGTATGTACTGGACCTGGTAAGGTGCTCGGCAAATGAATTAAATGCATCCAATGTCAACCCTGTGTATAGCTGACAAAGGTTGTTTTTTTCTCAGCAGAGTTATGTACAATGGCACCGGCTCAATGTATTGTGTTCCCATATCAGATGTAGGTGGCTTCAGTTTGAGTTGTGATTTTGAACTGTAGTTGTGGTCAGAGACAGATGGATCCTTCCATTGTGTTTCTGCATCACAGTTCAGGGGCATGTGGATGTGATCACCCTCACAGTTGTCCACTGCATCACTGGTGGTCATCGATACATCTGTGGAAATAATATTAAACATTTTTACATTAATACTTAAAATACATCATACAATCATACATACAATTAATATATGATGGGACCCATACTTAGAACAGTATGTGTGTGAGAGAGAGATGCATTAAAAACAAAACAGTATAGACGCTGTAAATGTAGTGTTAAAACGTAGATCAATATCTGAATGAGAAATGTAGCTAGCTGGCCTGCTATCATCTGCAATCTCTGTAACTTACAGGAATAATGTGAGCTATTGTAATGTACCATAATATCTTGTACTATCGTAAATATGAAATAAATAGGTGGGCAATGGTAATCATGCAAAATTCGTTGTACTTTAACTGCTCGTTACTGACCTTAAATGTATTCATAGAACAGACTTCATAACTCTTAACGTTAGGCGAACAAGCACATAGCTAGCTAAGTTAACGTTAGCTTACCTGAATCTGACAACCTTTTCAGCACCCGGCGTGACTGCTTTACCGGAACATCGTAAAAACAGGAACGTTTGGAAACATACGAAAGACTTTAAACATACGATTGCGACAATATGGTTTATTTGTGTTTGTCAAGTCATCTCCAGGTATTAAATAAAGTATATGAACAATGCAGTGCTAACTGACATAGCATTTATTACAGTATTGAAACTATTCTGCCTTATTATGTGATAAAAAAAAGTGTTTGTAGTATATAAGCAAATCATTATTATTGGTTATTGTCCAGCAGTTATCTGATTTCTAAGCCACTTAAAAGTTAGAAATGAGAGGAAAAATTAAAGTTGCCTATACACCAGTCAACAGTTTTTGAACAGTAAGATTTTTAATGTTTTTTAAAGAAGTCTCTTCTGTTCACCAAGCCTGCATTTATTTGATCCAAAGTACAGCAAAACAGGCTATTTCAAACAACTGTTTTCTATTTGAATATATTTTTAAAATGTAATTTATAATGATTTCAAAGCTACATTTTTTTTGCATCATTACTCCAGTCACACGATCCTTCAGAAATCATTCTGATATTCTGATTTGCTGCTCAAAAAACATTAATAATAATAAGAATTAAAAAAGGTTTCTTGAGCAGCAAATCAGCATATTAGAATGATTTCTGAAGATCATGTGACACTGAAGACTGGAGTAATGATGCTGAAAATTCAGCTTTGACCACAGCGATCATTTTAAAATATATTCAAATAGAAAGCAGTTATTTTAAATAGTACAAATATTTCACAACATTACTGCTTTTGCTGTACTTTGGATCAAATAAAATGCAGACTTGGTGAGCAGAAGAGACTTCTTTATAAAACATTAAAAATCTTACTGTTCAAAAACTGTTGACTG